ATCCAAGCATGAGAACAATGTCTTCTTCACTGTAAAAAGTGGTGGCATTAGTTTCATTCTTGACGAAATAAGTGGAATTCTAGTTTAAAACAATATATTTATATCGCCGAGAACCATTCTTATGAAAAAATGCTTGATGAACAATATCTATCAATCGTGATTTCAATTTACCATGTGGTATTGTAGATCTAGATCTGAAGTTTTCCAAAAGTTCTTTAGAATTGTGCAATATCCACATGTGATTTACACCACTCCTGAAAAAGACAGTGTCACAGTACTTTAGAATTCCTTCTTTAATGACAGACAGTATTGTAGTTAATGTTTTAGATAATTCTTTAGTTGAACAATTAGAAGAACCGGCAATGAATCTCTCCTTGTATGGTGTTTTGTGTAGTTTTGATATCCAATACAAGCGGGGCAATAATTAATAATTAAGTTTCTCTGCAATGCCAAACCAAATCTTACATGGGCATATTTCATTCAAATTGGTATATACATTGAATAGGATTGAACCTTGATGCATGACATCTCAACCCCTGTCAGATTCAAAATGGGTGGCCATTTTGTTTTAAAAAATGCTGTTAAGGACTCTACCTCTAATGTTCCTTAACCATTCACATTCTACACAAAAACGCACAAACTGGCTCCAGTATGTATGTCATCAGTTTGAAGATCTCAAAATTTCACACATGCGAACATAATTTTGTGATAAAGGTTGGCCTGACAGGAACTAATAAATTCCAGATTGTAGTGAGATACTGAAAACATTGGTATTTACACAACTGTGCCATTCACAATTTAGCTTCATCAGCTCCTTCTAAACTTTTCTAGTATTGTGAATTTCAGGCTTCCCATTCTCATGCCCATGTTTAGGCAAGTCAGATACAGCTTTAATTTAACAGCCCAACTTGTGTACATAGGATCAAATCTGAGGATGCAGCAAACACAAACACATTACGTTCTTTCAAATCTTTATTGTGATAATTATTGCATCGTAAGAACTGTGTTCTGGTTAATTCATATACATGTTCAGCCTCTGAATGTTATGAAATATCACATAAAACACTTACAACTACATTATCACAAACATATTGTTTGATCTGGTGCATTTGTTTTATAAATTTTATTTGAAGTTTACAATAGTCACCCTGGAAAAACCAATATAGTAAAGCTATGTAGTTCATACTCTGTGAACTTGCCCAGTATGTTATAACTAGCACAGTATCTGCAGTATGGATAGCCACTGTGGCTACATTGTTTTCATACCCAGTTATCTTCTTATTTAGTCACTTCACATGTAGGAGGTAGATAATATGAGGTTAGTACGAGGATACCTCAAAGTATGCACGAAGACAGTACAGCTGAAGTATTGATGCGATGGTGTACTGTCTGAGTGCATACTTTGAGGTAACCTTGTAATAAACTTATTATTATACATCTTTTTATTCCAAGGATACATCAAGTTTAGAACAGAATCAGCCAACTTCTTTGTGTGGAGTCTGATCAAAACCTTGTGGCAGCAATGTTTGTTTTTATTATTAGAGACCGGCGTAATCATTCCATATTTGGAATTCACATTTCCTAATACGTAGGATAAAAATACCCCTAAAATACCGCAAAATTACGGTATGCTGTAACTTTAAACTTAAAGATGTTACGGTGACAGATGTATAATAATATTACATAATATCACAATATTCAGGTTAATTCAGCAAAAATAAATATGCTACTATAATATACACTTTATATTCAGTTGTGTTACCCGAAAGTTATATCACCTTTGTGGAGACAGTGACATGTTTTTTAAAAGATGACAATTTTCTCAAAATTTCTCTTCAATAAGTGGTGTAAGTGATATTAAATGAATTATCTTTAACATAAATATGAGACATAGTTTAAAATATGAACATCTGGGTTATTTTGCAGCACAGTGAAGCTTGTTTCGCCTGCTGCCATGTTTGTGGTCGTTCTGAAGACTAACATTCATGACATGTGAATATTACCTAAAGAAAAGAATGATTTGCACTCCAGCCCACACACCGATATTCGGCCAGTAATATACCAGTATATATTTTGTTTTTGTCATATTTAAATCTATTTACTGACTGCCAAACATTTTACAAAAGCAGTTTTGGTCCAGTTTGCAAAAAAAAAATTTAACATCCTAAAATTGAAAATTCCTCAAGTTATGGGTAGTTTTAGGTGGAAAAGAACAAACAAGATTGATTCAATGTAACTGTCCAATCATAGTGGCTGGTGTAAAAAAATGAAAATATAGAAAAATATATTATACCATCATAAATTGAACAAATCTTACTGAAAGTTAATAAAGATTCTTTTGAAAAATGTATCATCAACAAAAATAGTGATCGAAAACTATGGAATGTACTTAAATCAAAATCTAGTTTAGAGAAGATTTGCTAATACAATATTTACTCTATTAGAAGTGCATATCCAATAGAAGCACATATAAAACAAAAAATCACATTGGTTGTTTATCATTAAAATATGACCTCCCTTGACATTAGAAACACCACTGTAATTTCTGTGAATGCTTGTGCAACTAATAGAGCAAATACAGTACCAATTATTGAACTAATCTGAGAATTGGCATTCAACTAATTGGAAATATCATTTTCTGATCAGATTACAATAGGAACAAATTGTCTTTCAATTTGATACAAAAGAGTTACAAAATGATGCTGTCAGATGTCAAATCATCCAGTCAGAGGAAATGATCTCTTACTGAGCATGATTTGTACAATGAAATCATTAGAGGTGATGGATGATGTATCATGTTGTGATCAAGATACACTCATTCAGTATACATTTCACTGTATTCTTTTGCTGTATGTTTGTAAACATTCACAGCAGCCATGTTACAGGAAGGCCAGTTTGATGTTGATGTCAACGACTGTAATGTGGTGGACTGACCCGTCATACAATCAAACAAATCAAAGTGCAGTTGCTTCACTTCAATGCCAAGCTTAGTACGAGTATACTCTTTGGAGATGAGATAAATCTTGCGATTAACGTTAGTAATACAAAGTATATCATTATCACATGTCTGTTTGTGTGGCAGTGGAATACCTCGGCTCCAACTGAGAGAGGCCAGATCAAAAACCCAAATATATGGATCTTCAGTGTTTTTGGTTCCCCCGACTATATAGATTTCGGAATTCAATAAGAAAGCATCTCGAAAGTGACCAATATTTGGCGGAGGATGGTAAGCGGATATCAGGTACCATTTTCCAAAGGCAGGCAAGTAAGCTTGCATGGTGTCCACACTATCATCACTGTTGAATACCAACAATCTATTGCGTTCTTTGTAAGCTACTGCAATTGGCCCACCCATGCCTTCTAAAAGTGGTGTGCCCTGTTGCCACATGTTGGTTTCTGGATCATATACTTCAACCTCATCCATACAGAACTTGCCTGAACTGATACCACCAATACAATAGATAAGTCCAGACAACGAACACACTGCATAGTTACGACGTTTCATATTCATGGGAGATTTCTTAGACCAAGTATTATACCTGGTGTTGTATTTCCACATAATGTCACCAAATGTGGCAAAATCCTCTCCTCCCATTACATAAACATCATTATTCAATGTGACGACTTTTATACAGGTTAACGTGGATGGAAGGGTGCTCAAATTGTTCCATTTGCCTGTCTGTGACATATAACACTGGGCACTGATGTATCCATTCTCACCATCCTCCCCTCCGAACAAAAGAATGCCAGGTGTTGTTAGTGACACTCGCGGCTTGAATTGGTTATTGTTTTCCTGACTAGGGCATGTTACTGGGAACTTCCTTGCCTGCTTTATATGCTGACTAATTATTGGTGATTGCATTACAGATGGTTGTCTTGATATTGCAGAATCTAAATAATTCTTATTAATAAAAGGAAACCGAACATGTTGCATGACCTCTCCAATGTGCGACTGGCGTGTTTTGTCAAAATTTATCCATCTGACAACTGCATCTAAAACCATGTCTTCCTCGTTAACGTCCAAAGAGTCGTTGGATATGATCTCAATTAGATGATGACGTGAGAGTTCCAAGAATTCTTTGCTCTTGTAAAGTGAGCAAAAATGTGTGATAATGAGAGTGATAGCTTCACGATCAACAGCTGGACAAAGAAGCGCCGGAGAGGAATTGAGAACTTTTAAACAATTTGACAATGACAACTTATCTAACATTAACTTAGCGCAATGATCAGTTAATATCTCCGACTGGATCTGTAGATAGTTTGCAGTGACTAGGACTTCTTCCAAACAGCTAGAATTCAGCAACATCTGTGGAGTGTACAAGAAATCTAATAGAATTTTGAATATGCGTGGATTAACTTCATTCAATTTTACATGATTGCATTTCTTCTCTTGCATTTCATTGGTAAACATTGCTTTGAAATAGTCGCTTCCGCTGGCCAATACAGCACGATGACACTGGAAGTACTTTCCAGCAACCTCAATCACAGTGTCCGTCAACTTTGGAATGTGTCTCATCTCATTAAGACTCAGGAGAATTGCTCTAGCATGATTGACATCACAAAAGTTTATCTTCTTCGTATTAGTTTTGATTTTGTGCTTTTGTTGCGTAGAGATCTCTGTATAAAACTGTTCGCATGCTTTCTCCAATGACCACAACTGGATTTTCTTGGCAATAGTTGTTACGTCTTTAAGGTTCCCCTCCTCAATGCAAATATTGGACGTATAAATAAAATCAATGACTGCGCCAACAGCAGCTGACTTGACCTTGTGAAAAGTAACAGTACTCTCTCTAATCCACATTTCGTTAGTTTTCTTGTTATGGCCATTGAAGCTTGCAGCCATAAGCAATGCCTTGTGGCATTTGAATTCCAAATCGCCTGCCTTAATGATGAAGTCCGTCAGTTCATTATTTTGTCTCATCACATTCAAAAGATTCAATACCCGAGATTGATGACTGCTGTCACTAACTATCCGTCTCCGATTTTTGGGGGTTGATGAAACAGTTCCCATTGCTGCAGCTCAGAGAAGATCTATAAGAAGAGAAAACGTTATTAATAATAATACAAACACATACATTTTGGAATTGTCGTAATCGAAACAATCATCCTAGGTAACACCAATAGAAGGTTTGGCAAATATGTATGAATTTTTCTGTAATTTTCTTGTTAAACATTTCCCATTGTCTAACAGGTCTTCATCAACATTTTTGACAAAATGTAGACAGAATTATGCAGGTCTCTTTTGTGAAAAGATATGAAAGATGACTTTGGCATACAAAAAGTTATACGGTATATACTTCAGTTGGTTACATCTGTATTTTAAAAACAAGACAAACAATAATCCCTTTTATCTAGATGCAAAACAAGTCATCTGAAGATGACACAGCCAACACTTGTCAGATGTGATTATAGTTGGCTATGAATTATAAAATTTGAATGTATATGTATAAAATCGGGTAGGAAGATTAAGTTGAAAATCAACATTACAAGGCACCCTATACCCTATATTGACAGATCAAGTAAGTCTATACCAAGTTTGGTCTCATTCGGACAATAAGTTCACAAGATATTAAGAAAAAAAATCAAAATTAATTAAATATGCAAATGAGCTTGTTAATTAAGTTCAAACTCAATATTCCATAGCACATAAATCATATATTGACAGATCAAGTATATCTATACCAAGTTTGGTCTCAAATAAAAAATCGGTTGAGCCATCTCCGAGAAATCACTCCGGACGGACTGACGAAGGCGTAACTACAAGCCCCCTCAGACTTTGTCTGGGTGGGGGCTAATAATATGCACAGACTGACACATACTGAACATGGCCATCAGTCGACCATCTTTAATTGAACTTTGCAATCAAATGAGGTGGCCTGGTACAAGTTTAAACCCAATGTATGCATGCATACAACTGTGAATCATGTTCAGTCATGTTATGGATAATTGACTCAAGTCGGTACAAGTTTATGTATGTTTAGTTAAATGACTTTTAACACTTTCATTCAATTTATTTCAATTGACAGGTACTGAAACTGAGATGTGACAATGCCTTAAAATAGATCTCAAAAGAATGTGTTAAATGGCTCCAGGGAAGTAATTTACTTCATTCAAATTGGCCTACATTGCGTGACTGTTGAACATAATATTATGGACACGGACAAGTCTCTTCAACACTTATTATTACATAAGATCCAAGAAATGAAAAAAAAAATCAGGACTAGATGAATTGTGACTTTATAAGCAGCATTACAAAACAACCTGTAATGAATAAACAAGTATCTCTTTATTTTAAACAGGTGATATTGGCATGGGGATATAAAAATAATTGTTTTGGCTTCCACTAACCCATCTCCAGTCAAAAGTAGCTGGGCTTCCACTAATCCTTTGCAAGTCAACAGTGGCTAGGACTCCACTAACCCAACATCAGTCACCAATGGCTGGACTTCTCCTAACCTTTCACCAATCAACAATGGCTGGGCTTCCACCAACCCTTTGCAAGTCACAAATGGCTGGACTACCACCAACCCTTTGCAAGTCACAAATGGCTGGACTACCACCAACCCTTTGCAAGTCACAAATGGCTGGGTTTCCACTAACCCCTCACCTGCCATTAATGGCTGGGCTTCCACTATTCCTTCACCAGTCACTAATGGCTGGGCTTCCACTATTCCTTCACCAGTCACTAATGGCTGGGACTCCACTAACCCACCTCCAGTCACTAATGGCTGGGACTCCACTAACCCACCTCCAGTCACTAATGGCTGGGACTCCACTAACCCACCTCCAGTCACAAATGGCTGGACTACCACCAACCCCTTGCAAGACACAAATGGCTGGGTTTCCACTAACCCCTCACCGGCCACTAATGGCTAGGCTTCCACTAACCCACCTCCAGTCACCAATGGCTGGGCTTCCACTATTCCGTCACCAGTCACTAATGGCTGGGCTTCCACTATTCCTTCACCAGTCACCAATGGCTGGGCTTCCACTATTCCTTCACCAGTCACTAATGGCTGGGTTTCCACTATTCCTTCACCAGTCACTAATGGCTGGGCTTCCACTATCCTTCACCAGTCACCAATGGCTGGGCTTCCACTATTCCTTCACTAGTCACTAATGGCTGGACTTCGACTAACCCACCTCCAGTCACCAATGGCTGGGCTTCCACTATTTCTTCACCAGTCACTAATGGCTGGGCTTCCACTATTCCTTCACCAGTCACCAATGGCTGTGCTTCCACTATTCCTTCACCAGTCACCAATGGCTGGGCTTCCACTAACCCACCTCCAGTCACCAATGGCTGGGCTTCCACTATTTCTGCACCAGTCACCAATGGCTGGGCTTCCACTATTCCTTCACCAGTCACCAATGGCTGGGCTTCCACTATTCCTTCACCAGTCACTAATGGCTGGGCTTCCACTATTCCTACACCAGTCATTAATGGCTGGGCTTCCACTATTCCTTCACCAGTCACCAATGGCTGGGCTTCCACTATTCCTTCACCAGTCACTAATGGCTGGGCTTCCACTAACCATTTA